GGGGATCCGCTTTTCCGTATAATAATATTGCCTTTACATTGCTCAAATACCTTTTTATCGTAAATTGACTCTTGCGTAGTTGGAATTAACCTCCATCATTTGCTGCTCTCGTCGAGAGCCGATTTACGATGAACACGATGGTTGGATCACACAGTCACAATTGAGTTGGCAGCAACAAAGGCGATGCTAGAATGAACCAAGTTGTGATTGAGAATAAGGGATCTCGCTCACGAAGCAGTGATTTTCGAAGGTGAAATGAAAATGTTTTGATGTCAGGCGATTTGAGGAATCGTCTGCATGGCATGGAGAGTTCTGGGCACCCTAGGACTCTTCCATCACAGCTCCGAACACCAGTGACGGGGAATCCCGTTCCTAGTGTGGATCCCGCACAAGCTTTGGCCACTTTTTGGCGGGTTGTGGAAATCCTAACCACGACGTTCAAGGGAATCATTCACAATACGGATGAGAGGCAACCTTTTACCAATCGTGTGGTATCCATACCACACCGGGAGGAAGTCGAAGCTGTGTTGGCGCATCGCCAGAGGGATTCACCTCCACTAAGGTCTTAAAAGTCGCATCATTTACGTCAAACACCAAGGGCATCGGTGATGGACCGTATCGGGGGTAGGAGAGTCTATGTCAATGACAGGCTCTCCTCCAGGGTTAAGAGGAGCGATGAAGCATCCTCTGCAGCTGTTTTTTCCCACCGTCGCAGTGTGCGTGGGGGGATTTCAAGAACGAGGTCCCCGAACATCAGCAAGCCCGTATAGACCATACTCCCCAGCCGCGCGACTAGGCTGGCCGAGATGTGGACGACCTTAGAAGGTGCCTTGGTGATCTAAGGAGAGTGGTGGCTGGCAGGGCCAACCCCACCCATGATGTGAGGATTCCGAAGCTATTTATTTGGCGAATTATGGATGCCTCACTCCCTCAGGGGTACAAGCCTTGCAACATTAAGGCCTATCGAGGAATGACTAAGCCCCAACACCATATTTTTAGGTACATGGCCTTTATGGTGATGATGGATTGATAGGTTCGTATTACAACACGCATTTGATGCGTGTTGGGATTGAGTTTTGTCAATATTCCTAATCTTTATGAGTCACAAAGCGTTTAATTAGCTCAATTCATGGTTTATCGGGTTTGCTTTGCGTTTGTTGAGAAATTCAGGAATTTGAACCTGGCATCGGCGTTAGAGTTTAATTTGAGAAGATTTGGGATGCTTTCGAGAGATGACAAGAAGCATCGTGGGTCCACAGGATAATTAAGGAGAATGATTTGAGTCAAAAGAGATCAAAGAATGAAGATGGGATCGATCGGGATCGAACGGGGAAGAAAAGAGCAAGAAAACGGTCTCAAAGAGCTTCGCGAGCCCCGCGCATCATATCTGCACGCCCTGCAGGTGATTCAGATAGCATGAAGTCCAAAAGTCTGAACCACACACCCCGCAGATGAAGCACGCCCCGCGGTTCAGAACACACCCGCAAGAGTACCCGCAGGGTCGGACCGTGCGGACAAAAGAAGTGAGAGACGGCGATATTTTTAACGTGCACCCGCACGGTAGTCCGCACGCTGTGCGGACAACCGTGCGGATCGATTTTCGGCCACTTTCCCCCATTTTCTATTTATTCAGCTCTTGTTATTCTGTTTTTCATAACGGAGCTTAGAGAGATAAACCCTATTATGAATTTGAAAGAGCTTTTCAGCCTTGTTCATCAAGATTTTGGGATTCTTTGTTAGTTCAAACATTTTAATTAATTACAATTAATTCTTTCTATTCAAATTCTGTTGATTCTTCAATTATGAATTGTGAGTAATTTTAATTATAGATTTGGGATTGATGAAGGAGTTAATCATGATCTAGGGTTAAATTCTTGAGGGATTAATTGCAGGATCTTTATTTAATTTGTGCTTGAATGATTTAATTGATATCTCTTGTAACCTAGAACTGCAGCTAGGATTATAATTGCACATAGAATAAATTAAGAGAGATCTAATTTATTCTATGACACTTTCACACACTTAATCGTTCGCTAAAAGATTAGTAACGGTTAAGGGGTCATACGCTCGCTCGTTTTGGCAATAATTTAAAAATCGGTCGCATGAGAGATCAACCTGGTTTCCTAAATTATTGTGCTTTACGCCGCGAGACCGGTAAGAACTTAGTATTGACTAGCGTTGCTCAATTTACCAGCACCATGTCAACAAAATTGAAATAAAATTAACACGTGGTTCAACAAAATGCTTTCTAGTGCTGGGAAATTGATCCTTGTTAAACATGTGATGTTCCCCTTTATCCGATGGGCTCGTCTATGATCCCTAAAGGCATTTTAAAAGATATTGAAAATAAATGCATCAGATTTTTGTGGAATAATAATAAGTCTACTTCTAATAACCATACTTGGAGATCCTGGGCATATTGTGCTTATCCAATTAACGAGAACGGTCTTGATCTTCGCAGGTTATATGATGTCCATAAAACTTTCTATATGAAGCTCTGGTGGAAAGCTGAATAGAACATCGGGTTTTGGGCCACTATTTTTAATTCTTTCCGCTTCCGTCATTTAGCTATCTTTTCGAAATCTATGTATGCTGTAATGGACACTTTTTATAGTAATACGGTTGTGATGGTGAACGAGGGAAGGAGGTCTTTTTAGAACTCTAACTGGAGTCCCATTGACCCCATTCGTAACCTTCTGCCCGATAACTATGACCATGACCATGACCTGTCCATTTTTTCTGCCTACTAAGACATTAGTGAGCATACTGGGATGCTGCCCATGACCATTGTCCAGACCCTTATTGATCTTAAGCCCAATTTTAATAACAATCCTGATGAGATCATTTGGGTCCGTTCCTCTGATGGTGAGTTTGCCTTCTGTCATGCCTATGATGCGATTAGAACCGTAACGCCGAAGATAAGAAACATTTATCTGATTTGGAAAAAGTCGGTTCGTAAAAAAATTCCTTTTTTCTATGGCGTGAGATAAATGGATTACTGGTCAACGAAATCTCTTTAACTAAAATGGGATTTAACGGCCCATTTGAGTGTCTGAATTGTAACCATAATGACTCCCTGGATCATTATTTCATGCAATGCACTGCCCATCATAAAATATGGGATCATTTTCGTTTCAATCCTCATAATCTGGGAACCAACATCAAAGAGTATATTTTAAATTCTACAAAATTGACACGTTTTTTAGAAGAAATGATAATCCTTTGGAACCTTTGGAAATGATAATCCTATGCCTCTCTACAAGTTTCGTAACCCTTCAATGGGAGTGTAGAGGCCTTATTTAAAGAAAAAAGAGCTTAAACTCGGACCGAATATAGTGGGCTTTTTTCGGTCCCTAATTTTTATAACCCGATGCCTTACGGGTAATTTCCGGGTTTCGCAAAATCCCGACCCAGACCGGACCGATCCCACCCCTACTAGATATATTAGCCTCGGGAAGGATGTGAAATCTTCTCATTTCTTGAGGATTCTTAAATTTGATGCAATTGGTTTCCCCTATGTTGTTTGACATTTCTGGTAGTAGGCCTTGGTTGATGTCCTCCTACACCATTTTGTATTCATGTATTTTACTCTAATAAATTCTCTATTTACATTAAAAAAAAATCGGGTTCTCCTTAATTAAAGAGGTTCAGTCTAGAAAATATTAGAACTCTCTAAGGAAGTAAAATATTTGTAAAATGTTTTGAAAAACTCTGTAGACGTAGAATTCTTTATAAATAAACTTGCACAAGAGTGAACTCTCTATAAACTTTTGGAAGAGTAGAATGTTCTCAAGTATTACGAAGATGTGTGAAACATTTTGCAAGTTTGTGTAAGACTATGCATGAACCGAGCCTGGGTCTGGTCGGGCCTCGAGCCGGGATTGAGTGGGACTGGGGTTTTGGGATGAAGGCCCGGTACTGGCCTGGGTTTGAACGGGATCGGGCTAGGCCAGATCAATTTTTTTTAAAAATTAGTCCTTTCGAATTTATTCCCACTCCCACTTCTACCCCCAAACCCCTCCAAATCACCCAGCCCAACCCATCTAACAGCAACCCAATGTCAAAAAATTAAAAATAATAATAATTTGACCCGGGCCGGTTCACTAAATTTAGGGCCCGTATCCCGTCCTATAAACAACCGGTTCAGGGCCCCAATCCCGGTACCGTCGGGCCGAGTTGGGCCTGCACAATACTGGGCCGGGTTCCGGGTCGGACCGACCCATCCCAATCCATCCCTACCCTATGTAAGAGTATGCAAGGATATGAAAGAGTGAAAGTTCCTCAAATGTCTAGATATATATATATATATATATATATATATATATATATATATATATATATATATATATATATATATATATATATATATATATATATGTTGTTAAGACCTGATATGAGGAGTAGTACAAATCTAAATATAACACTTTATTACTTCAAAAATTTTCAGAGTGAGACTTTAACATCCCTCCTTACATCCTAAAATGTCAATCTGATAGGAGGAGTAGTTCAAATCATTTTTTCATAGAGGCCCACATTATGATTATCGATTTGACTCTGATACCTTGTTAAGATTGAAGTTTCGTCTTAAAAGGTCAACCTGATGAGAGAAAGAACCAAAGTATTATATAATGTTTTTATTGTTTTATAGTTTTTCGGCGTAGGAACTAGAGACCCAATCTCTATCCTCGGAGCTAATTAATCTCTATCATTCACGATGGAAGTGGAGCCCCTATAAATAGGGGTAGGAACTAGAGTGTTAAGAGCCTCTTTAAAGTAGGAGGTATATACCACTAGACACGGTAACCTCACAGCCAGGTGAGCAAGAATGCTTGATTTATATTTCGGTTATATTACTGCTACGTATGTTTTTGTATAGTAATAGAATCATCGTATAGTATAGTACTCCGTAATACCTATGTGCTGCATTACTATCCTTGATTTGTAAATGCCTAGCTAGCTATATCAACTTCACGTACCAAACGGGATAGACGGAGCATCGATCCCGATAAAAATGCGCGCAATTAAAGAAATGCCTAGCTTGTGTTTAGTTAATAATACTCGAGAGAGTTTGACCCTCAGCTTGCAATTAAAACCTACTTACAAATAAATTCAAAATCCCAAACCAAACGAAATAAAACAGGTAGTGGAGCTAGCTTAGCTAAGATTGTATGTATAATATACAGCCTGGACTGGCATGGCATGGCATGGCATGGCATAATGAAGCTGGTCTAGTCTTTAGTATGCATATGCGGTGGCATGCTAGGTTAGGCAAAGTGGGGGTGCCCAGAGCTGTGCAGTCTTTACCTTTGATATGCTTGCTAGAACTCCTAATGGCGTTACATCTCCCACCACTGTCACCTTCTTCGCTACAAAGTCTATGCTGAAAGACGACACCCCTTCAACCAAAAATGCATGCATTATAACACTACGTACGTACATGATCGATCGATTTTAAATATAATAATTAATGAAGCTCAAGCTAAGTGTTTTCTCTTTTAACAATACGATCAAATCAAATACGTAGTAAGATAAGTAATCAGGAAGCTCGCACCATTCATCAAAACTCAAAACAACTTTAGCTAGAAACGTACACAATGAACTTATTAAAACTAGCTACAAACGAACTAAACATCAGTATAGTATGTAACATCTTAATTAATTAGTTCATAAATTTCTGTTAACAAACCTATTTATGATAACGTCTTACCAATCGTTGCAAACCTTGGAGTAAATGTTACCAAAGTTAATTACTTGTGTTGGTAACACAATTATGACTTACCATAAGTCGTAAATGTTACTTGTGTCATCATTAAAGTAATGCATGTTACCATTTTTCTATTACTTAACTTAACTTATGACTTATGACTTATGGAATAGTTTTAAACAAACTTATTTAGGGAAAACGTGCAAATAAGCCCTCTAACTAATCGAAAAAATGCAAATCACCTCTTTTATACGAGATTCTGTCCAGCCGTCGCCATTTGAGGAGGTTCCCGGTGAAATTTTTTGATGAATGTTTTTGATCATCTTCTTCATTAAGTCTAGTTTACTCATACCAAATTTCAGCTAAAAATTCAACCCGGAAGGCAGTCAAATGATTTTCTGAAGTATACTGTGCCGTTTAACTGCGCAGTTATCTTCAAACATTTATTTCACTGTCTTCCCGGTTGCATTTTTAGCTGAAATTTGGTATGGATACGCTATACTTAATTCAGAAGATGCTCAAAAAATTTATCAAACAATTCCACCGGTAACCGCCCTAAATGACGACGGCCGGATAAATTTCTGTTATCAAACCTATTTATGATAACATGTTACCAATCGTTGCAAACCTTGGAGTAAATAATGAATATGAAAGATTAATTTTGCCATATCATTTTTCTATTATACCAACACAAGAATTATTTTAATATGGGCGATCGATTTATTTTCAAAAAATGACAAATGGTGTGTCTTATACTCCGTATAAAATCTTTCACTCTCTCTTCATCCCCTTTAGTCATGCTACTTCTCCCTATTGTGCCCTATCCGGCCGCTCATATTTGCCAGTTATATCAATCTAGTACCATTATATTAAAGAAGTCAAGAAAAATCAATACTATGCATACAAAGATATTTTCTCTTGGATCGTTTTCAGTCTTAGAGATCAATCCAGACCAGTCTTAAACAAATCAAACCAGATTCAAACAGACCAGACCAATTCAGACCAAACCAGACCAGACCAGTTCAGATCAAACCAGATCAGACCAGACCAACAAATTTCAGTCCAAAGAAAACATACTAAGAGTCCACTTGTTAACGCCGCTCACATTTGGCTAATTAGCCTTATCGGCTATTTTTTACCAAACACGTTATTTATGATTTCTCGAGCTCAATTGTGTAATAATTAAATAAACTATGTTGAAGTTACTTTTATGACTAAATAATCTGGTCTTATTTAATTTGAGGGAACTATTTTAGTCATTTTTCATATAAATTTTTCCTTTTGTATAATATACTTAAAGTGTACAAAATATACTTTTGTAATATTTTCGGAATTCAGACTATTCCGATGATTTATCCAGAATTTCACGATTTGCAATAGATTCGCCTGATTAAGTCAGTTTTATTGTTACCAAGAAGCTCTATAAATTACCAAAACCAAATTAAATATTTTTTTCAAATCAATAAGCCTGTTCGAAATTATAAATAAAAATGATAAATATATTGTCATGTTTCAATATAATTAATTTACTATTACTTTATAATATATAATGAACTGAATAATTAATACTCCAATCTTCCCATAAAACTTTGTCAAATTTCTCTTTTAGTTGTTCTAAAAAATGTCATTTGAATTTAAAGTAATAAGAATGTGGCTAAAGTTAATTACTCTCTGGGTCCCTTGTAGTTCATGTTATTTCTCTCTCCTTTGCACACATCTCAACCACACAGTTTGTACTTTATTATTTCTCGAGCCGATCAAACTTGGTAAAATATTGAGGGACGGAGGGAGTATCTTTTTTCATACAAATATCGATCACGTCATTTTTATTTTATAATTTTACATATACATCAATTTTGGTCAAGTTTCGTGGGACTAGACACGAGCGTGTGTGCCATGATAGGGCGGCTGGGTGAAACTAGTACTCCCTCTGCCCCATTTTACATATTTATTTCCTTTTTTATTTATGTCAAAATAAGTGTCACGTTTCTTTTTTGAAAACAAATATGTTGTGTACAACATTTTACTTTGTTAATTCAAATCTCAATCATATCTTTTACGTTTATGATCATTTTATTAGTAATTGTGACAAACTAAAATACTCCCTCCGTTCCTAAGCTAAATAAACTTCTAACTTTCCTTTTTCGTAAAGAATTTATGGTTCACAACATTTGTTACACATTTCTCTCTCTTCTGCACAACTCTCCACCACACAATATCCCCTATTTGGAAGTTTTAATAGGAAAGAGAGAGGGTAGAATAGATGGGATGAGGTGGAGGTAGTATCTATCATCCGTCATCCGTCTTATTACTTGCTTGCAGGCAGTGCCTGAAACTGTAGGCCCACAATAAAAAAGACAAACAATGGTCCGGTCCTGTTCAGCCCTGCCTTGGATTATTATCACGACTGCACTAATATACAGCAAGTCCATACCTCTCACCGGGCGTATATATATAAATAAACAAGAATAGTGGAGTCGAATGCAAATAGAAAAAGAGATCCCTTACGTTACGGGTGGGGACTGGGCCTGGGGCATACCTTGCATTTTGGAGATGTGTTTTCTCATTTTCTTCTCACACCCTCTGCAATGAAGTGAAACTCTGAGAACCACAACCACCTGCAACCAATTCATTCAATGTCACATTTGAGGACCACAATACAACTCACCTCTCAACTTTATCATTTCAACCACTTCCACCTCTCCAATTCCTCACACCCACTTTGTATTTAACATCAAAAATATTTTGAGAAGAGAAAGTGACACGATTATTAAGAAAATTAGATTAATGTAGTTGTATTGAATTGAAAAAATAAAAGTAAAGTACAAATGATTTAGTATCACACAAATTTTATCAAATTGGTATGAAACAATCTTATTAGGACGGACCGAAAAAAATATGAGACAATCTTAGCAGGTCCTAGAAACTATAAAAATCAAATCCATTACTACCTAGTACCTACATAACAAAAAGATGTTCTCACTTCCTTTTTCAATCCGTACTAAATAATCTTCATATTTTTAAATCTTTCCATTATAATACCTTATGTTCAATTTTTAAACTTAATTACCATGAAACTACATTGTAGTAACCATTAGTCATATTTATGTATATAAGTTTTATTTTAATAGTATTTTTGAAAAAACACAAATTTATAGTACGGACTAATAGGTTCTGCATCATTTTACTATAAAATTATATGATTATTTCTACTCATATATACAAGTGTGTATGCGGTTTGAATCTATTTATTAGTCTTGTGTAGTAAAGACCTAAGCATGTAAGAGCATCCACATGGATGCTCCTCAATTTTACGATTTTGATGGCTTATTATAGTCATGTCACTTTCACATAAGAAAATCTCAAATAATATTCAAATCAAATAATTTCTCCTCAACCATGATCATAATTTACCAAGACTTTCTATGAGACATACCCCCAATTTCAAAATCTCTAACTTAAATGCACTCACATCGTACATGCACACATTTTTTTATCATAAAAGAGTGGTCGTTATGTTAAAATCGAGAACTTATACAAGACAACATTATTTAGATAGAATTTACAGATCCAATCATGAACTTTAGAGGTAGATTTCAAGTCAGTCACCTCATACAAAACAACATGACTCGCTAAATCTGAAACGGCCAAATTTAGACCTAAAATGACCGGAACCAAAACTCTGTCTATCAAAAGAACTCCAAAAATCCAAATATTCAAACCAAATCTACTCGGACTAAAACATAAACAATTGCTACTAAAGAGAAAATGATACTAAAAAAAAATCTTTTCGCAAAGCTTTTCCTGATATGGAGGTGGTTACGACTTACGAAGGAGGACGGCTCTTGCAGTATGGGTGAACACCAACTCCACCACTGTCGGAATGGCCGACCAATGATTCATGATCCAGCCTCGATACAACCTCTCAGCCGCACTTCGTTCATCCTCCAACGTTATCTCCTCCGATGTAGTTACAATCTCAAACATTAGAACACTTAAAACCAGTATAATTTGTCGCTCCAACCCCATATTGATAGGAGCGACAGAAAATCTATACCGCTACAAAGAGGGGAGACGGGCGCTAGAGTTCCTCTCTCTAGAGAGAAGAGAGAGTTTGTCTCTCTAGTCCATGCACACATTATTAAAAAGTGTACTATTTTAATACATATACTATTTTATACTAGCAAATTGGGATAGAAGCCTAACAGTTGAAAATAATCTTCAACTAATCAAGATTCAGAATTTGATACTAGCTTTTTTCATCAAATAATCTCTTCAAATAATTCCAACATCTCAACCATGGTCTCAAAAAGTATCATCCACCTCATCAAAACAATCCCTAAATAATTTTATGGATGGGGATGCCCTAAGAGGTGTATATATCGTCAACTCATAATTGTTAAAATCTGAGCTTCCATCCTAAAAGGTTAATCTTGATAGGAGGAGCACTCTAAAGCGTTATATACTCCCTCCGTCCCGAAAACAACTTCCCACTTTCCTTAAATGGACGTCCCAAAATTAACTTCCCATTTCCATATTAGGAAAGCTTTAAAGGTAAAAACTCATAAATGCCCTCCCCATATCCCTACATCCTCTGCCTATTCGGTGCCCCATTTTCTCCGATCCCATTTGCTTTCAACCCCACACCATTATCTCTCTCTGTCTTCTAACCCTCTTCACCTCTCCACTCTCCTCCCTTCTCATCCATGGAGAAGACAAACATCACTGTCCTCCCTCAAATTCTCCCACGGGATGATGAAACCTTGGGTCCTGAATCAAATCGCCGTGATGATGAAACCCTAGATCTGAAGAACCATGTCGCGCTTCCTGAATCAAACCTCGGTGATGATGTAACCCTAGATCAAAACATGCATGTCGCGCTTCCTTCTGTCGAAGCTATGGTGAACAAACCCTCAGAAGAAGCTATGTCAGACGAGGAAGGTGTAGAGTCTGACCAACGAGGGTGGACTTCGGAAACTGACTCTGGATGGGCCATACAGAAGAAATGGGGGTCTGACTGCGTGGAGGACACTTACGAAGGCTTTCCAGCTTCAGAGGACGAAGGGGAGGAGGAGGTGAACTCGGAACCTTGATGGTATCCAGAGGAGTTAGACCACCTCTTTGGGCATTGTCGTAAAAGGCTGTGGATGCCTTGGGGGACTGATTCCTCATAGGGGATGCTTCTAATCTCATCTCTTTTTTAATGTTCAAGTTGTAGAACTGAATGTGTTCGTTTATTGAATGAAGTTTGTGCTTTTAGCTTGTGATGCCCCTCTCTTTTGTGAACTGAATGTGTTCGTTTATTGAATGAAGTTTGTGCTTTGAGCTTGTGATGCCCCTCTCTTTTGTGAACTGAATGTGTTCGTTTATTGAAGTTGTGATGCCCCTCTATTTTGTAAACTGAATGTGTTCGTTTATTGAAGTTGTGTGCCTAAATCTAGTAGTCTGTGTATCTTGACTGATGATGATGGGGGCTTGTATGATCTAAACATTGGGAAGACAGTTTGGGAATATATGGATATTTGGCTTACTCTCTCCTTGTGTCACCCACTTGTACAAAGTGTTGAAGACCATTTAGGGATTTATGTGCACAAGCAATTGATGTTTATGTGTAGCATATGATTTGGGCTTACTAAATAAAGTCTCACTTCACATAGGGTGGTTTTTGGGTGTGTATTGTAAAACACTTGTAAATTTGCAACCCTTATGTGCTTAGATGGATTGATAAGGCAAAACATTAATTGTTTCTTCTACATTTGAATCAATGTGGCCATACATTTAATACTTGTATGCCAAGAATGTAAGAAAGCACAAAAATAGTGTACTATGGGCACATATGCCAGTATATACATAAACAGTACCCCTTCTCTATAAAGGAAGTACATACAAAAAAGATTACCCTCCATGTGCCTGAGTTCATTCTTGAAGATCTACTTGATCTTCACTTATGAACTCACTTCCATGGCCCTGATGTGATGCTTCTGCCTCAAGTGTTTGCATCTCTATGAGTGCTTGTTTTGCTTCATTCATTATGACATGGCTGGTTTCCACATTTGTGGGTAGCAACCCCTGTCTTTCAAGTTTTTCCTTTCCAACATGCCTCAGCTTGAAGTTGTTCCCCCCTCTGTGCTTTAGTATTTCCTCCATAACATACTGAAAGCTGAGGAACACCCTGTTTAATGTACTAGGTGTGAGAGCATCAAATGCTAATGTCACAGCTTGTACTAATTGGGAAATTGACTTAGGGGCTTGTTGTTACATGCCTTGTTACATTTAATATAGACTTTGTCTCTAGTGTGCCTGCTGCCCTATTCTTACTTGATCTCTTAGCCTTCTCTTGAAATGTGAAAGGAAATATACCTACTTTCCCATCCCATATGACATCCCCTGCATCCCCAAACCTTGGTCTGCCCACAAATGCTAAAAACATTATTTTGGGTATGAATATCTTGGACCGGGCAGATCTATATGGATCTTCTTCACTACTGTGAGTGTAAAAGTTGGTTGTTTCCTTAAATAAGAAAAACCACTTTTCATCAATGTGAACATGGTCATAAAAATCATGAAAAGTGGGATTTCTTGGGGGGTTATGACTATCAAGTGGCCTAAACAAAACTCTAACCTTTTAATCTTGCCTGCCTCTTTCAATAAAGGTTTGATTGCATTTGAGTGTCTTTTGATTTGCTTAGCTTTCACTAGTCTGTGCACGGTTGACTTTGAAACTTGCATGGCAAAGCCTAAAGACCTGGTGTTCTTTCTCTTGTGAAGTGGGATTTCCTTTATGTACTCCAAGTCAACTGCTACCCTTTTTCTGCCTACATTTCCCTTTTGTAGGCTTTGAACATTAATGGATAACCCTTGGTCCATTTGTTGCTTTGCTCTTTTCCACAAGTCACGAACTGTCCTTCTACAAATGTTGAACTGTGATGTTGTACTTGTTACAATACCCCTCTGAAGTCGCCCCTCACTGTAGTTTCCTAACATAATTTCAACAACCCTACTTCGCTTTGCATTTGTTAACTTCTTCCATTTGTTGGTTGGTGCAGGAGCATTTAACATCATGGAAAGTTGTGCCTGGTTTGCTGTGTTGTTGTGGCTGGCATGAGGAGTTGCAGGAACTTTAGGCTCTTCAATGCTCATTTTGTTGTTGTTGTGAGAGTAAATGAAGAAAGATAGGGTAGATATAAATAGAGTGTAATGGGAGGGAAATTCAAAACATTTGGCCGAAATGGTGGAGGGAGTTTTTTGTGGTTGAAAGTGTTTAGCATAGATCAGATTGTTTAGCAAAGATGGTGTAATAGTGTTAGATGTGATATGTAATGAGTGTTATTGAAATGACTTTTTTGTGATATTTAATTTTTTTACCCCCAGTATTGTTCATTACCCCCTTTCCTTTTATTTATTCTGGCCGCAGCCCTTAAGGGTAATTTTGGAAAGTCAAAGGCAAAAATTAATCTACCTAAAAGTGTGTGAAAGTCAAACCGGGAGGTTGTTTTCGGGACGGAGGGAGTAGTATTTTATTGTTTTACAGCTATCCGGTGTATAACAAATACTTTAACACGCTCCCTCAATCCGTACCGGACTAAACAACATCAATGTATATAAATTGTGTCAAACAAACCCTTAACAAGCTACCATTAATCATGGGGGATTCATGGGTGCTAACAAGCAGTCAAACCACAACAGAACTTGGCTCTGATATCATGTTAAAACCTAGGTTTCATCCTAAAAAGTTGACTTTGATAGGACGAATAGCTCAAAGTTTTTATAGTATTTTATTGTTTTATAACTTTTCGGTGTGGGACAAAAAAAATTAACAATTATAAATTATAGTAGTATACAAAAAATATCATACGGAGGATCAAAATTACTCCCTGCGTCATAAAATAGTTCTCACTTTCCCTTTTCGATTGTCCCAAAAATTAGTTTTCATTTCCTTTTTGGAAAGCTTTGTGTGTGACTACCATTCATTCACCTTTTTCTTACTCAACCACAATCATACATTTTCACTTTATTCTCACTTTCTTAAACTTCTGTCCAAATCAGAATGAGAACTATTTTATGGGACGAGGGAGTACGATTTCATACCGTTGACCTTAAAATATGCAACTCACCAAAGATTTTCAAAATATGTTTCTTATTAGATCATTAAAGGGAAATTTCCCGAAAAAGAAGTACACAGAATTTGGAATTCCAAAATATGATTGTATCTTTCAATCATGTCAATAACGACTTCTATTCCGTGAAAAAACATGATTCTCCATCACTAATTACTTATATATGGAGTAAAAGTAAAAATGTTACCTACCATTTCAAATTATCACTAAAATCCTTATACATGAGTAAAAGTAATACGTTTCCCTCTTAATAAATCTCAGGGTATCTCCAATGGGAGGGTGGATTGTAGTGATGTGGCATAGGAAAGAGATAGAGACAGAAAAAATATTTTAATGAAGTGGTGTGTACCAAAAATGAAAAAGAGAAGAGAGATAGAGATGAAAAATAGACCTAGGTCTTTGACAAGGTCCATAAATGGACCTTACATGGAATTCGAAGGGAGAAGGTTGATGAAAAGTGGGTTAAAAGTGATATTACAAAATGAAAATGAAAATAAATTATGAAATGTGTGAGTTCTACACATAAAAATTGTGAGAAAATATGGGATTCATGCCTAAGGGTGGGTAAAAACCACACTCTCACGTCTGGCTAAAATATCACCACATGTTTGTCCACAAGGGGTGTTAGCTTTTTTTTATACCTTTTCATATTAGGACTTGCCTTATTTTGATCTTTCTTTATCCTTTTTCTACTAAATTGTTCTATATCACCTTTAAGCCGTTGCTTTTTCGTTGCAGGTTTCTTCGGTTTTTTGCTCCTTCAAACAAAACCCACATAATTTTTATTAAAATTGAATAATGGTCAATAAACCGGGCCACAGTTTTTGGTTAAACCGGAATCGTACTTCCTGTTCGGAATCGAAGGTTTACTAGTCTGATTCGGTTTCCCGAAAAATTAGATCCGGATGGTTTGGGTTCAGAGTGTCTTTTTTTAATTAATTATTTAATAGTAGTATTATTAATAATCTTAATAATTAACTAGTTATTAATCCTTAGATATTACTGTACGGAGTACTAGTTAAAATATTTTTTAATAGAATTATTAGTAACAAGTAACCATAATTTATTAATAACTATTTTATTTTAGAATAATAGATTGTAGGACTTTACAATCTAATTTATTACTACTTGGCTATTAACTATCTTATTTTTGTACTTGTACTAAGTTTTAACAATGAGAGATTTGTTCTTGTAATATATTTTTGGGAACTCTTTTATATATATATTTATTTAAAAATACTAAACTTTAATATCTGAACCAGATTGGAATCAGAACCGCCGGTTTTAGAACCGCTATTATGCAGTTCAGGTCCGGTAGATGTTGATGTGCTTATATTTTATAATTGTCAAAGTTTGATCTGGTATAATAACTCGTCGAAATAAAAACATCATTTATAAATTGTATTGATAAAGAAAACATTTTTTTTCCAGAAATTACCCCAAATAGGAGTAAAACTATGAAAAAAATCGAAAATATGACATCTTATGTTTTTATTACAAAATAGAACCATATTACTCCTATTTGGAAACATACCTATTTTTCATTCCATTCTTACTTCTCATTTAAATATGAGTAAAAGGTAGTCAAAAGTCATAATAAATACATCTTATGTTCCCAAAAATACTTCTCACTTTCCCATTTTGGATAATTTGTGTGGCTCACATTCATTTTACCTTTTTCTTACACAACCACAACCATACATTTCCACTTTATTCCACTTTCTTAATAAGCGTGTCAAGTCAAACCGGGAAGAATTTTTAGGAACGGAGGGAGTAATAAATTAAAACATTTGAATAGCTTTGTTATACTTGTTTAAAGTGGATATTTGTGCAAAGCACACATGAGATTAAGTTTCTTTTTTTGTACGAAGAAAACATCAGTAATCCTATATTTATTTCCCATTTAAGGAATTACTCAAGATGAATAGGGTAGATATGGTTCACTATATATTTTGCATTCGAATTTCATGGATTGGCTTGGGCGTGGTCGAGATGTGTTTTTATTGATTTTGATTTCACAAAAAGAAAAACAATGTGTAAAGTGGATTATTAATTAATCACAAGTAGCAGCAGCTTAGCGTAAGAATGATGAATAGGTACCACCTACCTTATTGGTGGAAGCGGAGGCAGGAGGGTGAAAAGATGAAGAGGAGAAGGGCTCAGAGCTATATTTTTCTTCGTCATTCAAAAGGTACCGAGAAGAAGATGGCGTCACAAAGTCACCCGGCTGCGCGCAACTCCACCCACCACTTCCGCCGCCGACCGGCTTGCTGCAATGCTTCTTCTGCTCCTCCTCCTTCTTCTTCTTTCCTCTCTTATCATCCTTCCTGCTGGACGTATGGATGTCCGCTGGGACCGCCTCTGTTCGACGCCTGGAGTCTGTGATGATGGGGTTGAAGCGGTCGATTGCTCGGCCGCCGCCGAGTTGAATGCTCGTGCCGTACGCTTCCATTGAGAAGCAGATTGCGGTGGCCGCTTGGGAAGAGCAAACCGAGTTGATTCCTTTCATATTAATATTTCAAATAAAATGATAGGCAGGCAGGAACAAGAATAGGAATATGGATAAATAAAAGATGTTATTTATATCTATGTTCCCTGAGAAAACGAATCTGATGCTCCGGCTACTTGAAAAGATCGAATCACGTTTTGCGTCTGCCTGCCTGCCCTCCACCCATGTGCCCCCACCTATCCACGTGGGATCAAACCCCAACTCAATACTCCCTCGTTCCTGAAAATACTTCCAACTTTCCCTTTTAGTCTGTTCAAAAAAAACTTCTCCTTCCCTTAGCTTTTTGACAAAGAATTTGTGGTTCACAGCAATTCCTATACATTTATCTTTCCTCTGCACAACTAGAAAACTGGAAAACTAGAAAACATGAAATAGGAAACATGTTTACCAAAAAAATTGCTAGAAAACTAAGAAAGGAAAACAGAAAAATGCATTTACCAAATCATTTTCTAAAACGAAAAAAATGAGACATGTCTCTCTTTTCCTTAATGATTTCGAGAAGTGACTTTTACTAGTTTTCCAAATTTGGAAAACGCAGATGCTACAGGCCGCTGTAATGAATTTGCATACTTACACCTAGTGGTGGATCCGGTCTCGCTCCGATGTCGATTCAATTCTAGTACCTCCATCCTCGTACCTTACCCCTACCCTACCCTGCCAACCCAATCCCCCCCACACCGCATACCCTTTTTCCCTACAATGACCCTACCCCCACCCCTACCACATGCCCCTACCTCGGTCCCACCCCAATCCACCCTACCCTACTGCCACCCCCTACCACCTCAACCCCACCTCGACCCACCCTACCCTACCCCCACCTCGTATATACCCCTTACCCCTACCTTACCTCTTCCCACATGCCCCCTGCCTCGGCCCCACCCTACCGCATCCTACCCCCACCCTCGTACCGCCATCCTACCCCACCACCATCCTACCTCCCACCCTACCCCTTCCCCTACCTCGGCCCCACCATGATCCTAACCGCACCCTACCTCCATCCTATCCCAACTGCCTACCCTACCCCTACCTTACTCCAACCCCAACATTACTCACTACCCCACCCATACCCCTAACCACCACCCTAACCCATCCACTACCCCACCCAACCCTGTACCCCTAGACCTTACCACCCCACCCACCCCCACCCATACTTTCCTTCGCTACCCCCGACCCCTACGAGTAGGCATGGGTGGGTATGAAGGGCTTTAGGGGAGTATGGGTAGAGTGTAAGATCGTGGTAAAGGTAGGGGTAGGGGTTGACGTGCACTTTGTCACGGTGCGTCAAAATAAATCGATACTAACACTTATACGTAGTATAGGTGAAGTAGAGTTCGTATCCACAGGGAAAGAAATACTTTTCTTTTTAATTTAAGAAGTAAGTAAAGGGGGGATTTGGATTGAATGCTTTAATTTTATTAAACACTAAGATGAATGACTTATATGAGATTTAATTCAAGAATAAAAGGGACTTGGCCTTGCTACTTTCCACTTGTTGATATATTTTAGTCAATCATTGTTATATCTATAACTTATCCCCTCTCGATACTCAATCGAGGAGTATATCCAATTCATCGAGGGTAGTTATTAACAACGACCGTTCATTAATAACTCTTACTATTAATCAAGTATAGAACAACGCCTTATACCGATTTAATAGTAGCATTTAATCTTTTAACTCCTTGATGAAATCAATTGAGATTAATAACCTTAACACAACGGTTTCGGTTTAACCAACAAAATTGATCCCTCTCTAGTTTATTAACCACAACCGTGCATTAATAAACCGAAGTTACTTACTTGTGAAACCATCAACGATTAACCATCGGTTTGTTGATCGTTTGTAGTAGTAATTAATGTTGGAACGTTAACTAATCGTCACTTAGAAACCCTCCAACATTAATATAGAATGAGATTAAGGGAAGAATTAATAATCAAGAGAAGAAGTTAAGAAATAACTCACAACTTTAATAATCAACAACCTTCAAGAGCAAAACCAAGAAATGGAAGTTTAGCTCCTCATTTGGAGACTAAACATAGCTAGAAAAATATAAAGAAATGATATTCTAAACTGAGCTTAAGAGTATATAGGAATTGGTGATCTCATTGTGAAGGAAAGGAGGTGTATTTATAGGCTTTTTGGGATGCAGTTCGGGTACCCGATCGGGTAAATGCACGGTACCCGACCGGGTATGTGTAATACTTCAGATTCGAGGTATACTCGATCTATTAAGGAGTAAATTATATAAGCATACCCGATCGAGTATATTCTTGTACCCGATCGAGTATGCCTAAAATCTCAGATCCGAGGTATACTCGATCGATTTCAGGTTTAATTCAGAAGGGATACCCGATCGGGTGTGTCGGTGTACCCGATCGGGTATAGACACTCGATCGTGGTCAAAATCTTCCCTGCATGTTCATTTGTCTTTGGATCCGATCCGATTTGAAATTTCAACAAGATACCCGATCGAGTATAGGTGATACCCGACCGGCTATAGACCAAAAAAATCAAGATCTTCCTTTTGTCTTGTGATTTTGCACCTTCCTTCCACTTTTGGGGTTCACCAACTGTCTTTTGAGTGATCAAGACCTGTTTGAGCTCAGAATAAACATAATCTAAACAATTTACAAGTATTTAACAAACTAAACTATTACACCAAAAGTGTGCAATTTCCAAAGTAAAAATCAATCAAAACTAATTAAAAATACAAACATACATATGGAAATTACAAACGTATCAACTCCCCCACACATAGTTATTTACTCGACCTCGAGTAAAGTAAAATGTTTCCAAATAGTCCAAAGAGTTTTCCATGAATTCTGCCTCTTCTTCTTCTTCTTCGCGAGCCTTCTCATTCTCCAAAGAGATCAAATGAGTGCCTGCAAAAACAAATATTTCTCTCATATCTTTCATTTTGCCTAGGAGCCTTTTCAGGTTTTCATCCTAGCAACTCTTTTCATTTTCCATTCTCCCTAACTCACTCATTTTTTTATAAGCCTTTTTTGCTTAGATTGCCCATTTTTTTGGGGGGGTTTCAACCTAACTAGCATTTCTTTTCTTTTATTTATTCCTTTTTTTGTGTATCAAGGGTAAAAGAAATTCATGCGTAGTGAAAGGTAAGAAATAAAATTACATACCATGAGGAGTCTCTCCCCCACACATAGTCCAAGCATTGTCCCTAGTGTCCGCCTTCGCCGCCGTAGTAGCTGCCTCCGAATCCGCTCCCGTTCCCTCCATCTCCGCCATCTTCTCCATCATACCCTCCACCCCCGGAGCTAGATCCTCCAAAGTTACCCCAATGAGTGGGGTCATACCAAGAGGGTGGTGGGGGAGGGTTTGCCATAGTTTGAAAGGAGCCTTGATGGGCTATGTAGGAGTACATAGGTTCATATAGCCTACGTTGGTCCTCCTCATATCGGTGGTTTTTGGGTTCCATGCGCCGAAAACCCGCTCTTTGTTCCTCTTGAACTTGGGTGAGCCGTTCTCCCATGGCTGCGTAACTGGTGCTCATTTGGTTGTACCCGGCAAGTAATTGTTGTTGACCCTCCAAAAGTTGTTGGAAATAATTGGGTGGTAGAGGGTCGTGGGGCTGCTCGGGGATATCCGCGTCCATGTCCTCGTGATCATGTGGTGGGGTACTTCTACTTTGTACAGTAGTTTGGGGAGGTCTGGGTTAAGCATGAGGAAGTGTTTAATAGGTTTTGGGTGTATGAGCCAGTTGTACATGTTTCTTGGTTGTTCATCACCATACACCGTGTGGGAAAAAGTTATGCATCCCGAGTGGCCTAACCAAGCCATGTTCATTAAACAGTAGTCGGGTATAGGAGAGTCATCCGTATACCCGAACTTTTTCACCAAATGCATAACCACCCCTCCCACAACAATTGCCCCTCTCGCCGTGCTTTCTTTTTTCAAATGTGCCCACATTAAATTGCACAGATTGAAATCCACAGTACGATGGAACAAAGCTACAAACATCAAACATACATCCCCCATCCTAGTGTGATGGTTGTTGGGACGCCCAAGCAAGCAATTTGCCAAAAATTTCAAAAAAAGATGCAGGATGGGGTGTTGGACATGGCTAATGTACAGTTGGGAGGAGCTAAAATTAAATTCACCGGTCATTTTTGTCCAGAGTGTATGACCGAAAACAGTGTTATCAAAAATGGCTCTTTCGTAGGGGACGGGGATGCCAAAGTGTTCAGAAAACTCGAGTTTCGTTATTGAATATTCTTGGTTGAATAGACGAAACGTGAGTTTGTCATCCCTAAAGTCCTCCTCATTGCTCTCAAAGTGCACCGAACTCATGAATTCATAGATAATTCTTTCGTTACAGTTGTATTTCATTTTGAAAATACGGTTCATGTCCAACTCATGAAAGAATTGCTTAGTACTCCTATAAATGCCTAGTTCACGTAGAGCCTCATGGCATAGAAAACGGGAAGTTTTAACTTTCCTTGCAATTGTGGTGAGGAATCGAGGTCGGTGTTCGTTGTCGACGAAACGGAGGTCCTTTTTTGGAGCCTGGGATGGGTGCCATGTCGTTGGAGCTCTCTCCTCCGTACCTCCTTGGTGCCATTTTTGCGGATTTGGGGCTTGAAATTTCGAAATTCGAAATGGGGGTAGGGTTTTCGGACCTTTGGGAATTTGGGAGAAATTTGGATTTATGGGTATGGGTGTGTAGAGGAGAGTGAGAGGAGTATTTTGGTGGTGGAATGTGGTGATTTGATGGAGAAATGAGGGAGATATGGTAGAGAGAAGGTTTGAAAATGGAGGTTGGGGGAGAGGGGTTCGAAAATTGGGTTGGGAAATTGGGGAAGATGAAGTGATTTGGGCTGTTTTAGGGTTAAAACGTAGGTGTACCCGATAGAGTATCCTGCTATACTCGATCGGGTATAGGAGGCAGCGGGTTTGGGCTTTGGTTTTTTCATGCATACCCGATCAAGTATCTTGTTGTACTCGACCGGGTGCTGGAGGCAAGGGTTTGGGCGTTTTATTTTCCAGTACTACCCGACCGGGTAGGAAGTCATACCCAATCGGGTATTCATCTTCTTGCACATTTTGAGCTCCTTACTCGATCGAGTCTTCGAGGCAGGCTTTTTTGAGCTTCGCTTTTCTATGAATAC